ACAAGAACTACATCCTGTAAATTATATAATTGAGACTGGCTGTAATTCTTGTTCAACTAAAGATAGAAAAACAATAATAAAGTATTAAATGGTCTATTTTTTTATGATTTCACTTTTTTTTTTCTAAGTGTAAGAATATACCGGGAAGGTATTTAGTCATAGAAATTGCTTCAAATGCAAGTTATTTTCTCATGCAAATTAATTTATTCGCAAATTAATACACGAAATTAATGGAGAATATCGCGTAGGCGATACAGAGAACTGAACGAGCACACGATTATTTCCGCTTTTGCTTTATTAATTGAGACATTTTACACAACAGTCAGACAAATAACAATCAGACAAATATAACAATCAGACAGATATATTCTTTCAGGCAATTGCCCGTGTAATTATATTTGTGCGACACGAGCGACAGTTTAACTCGGATGCCAGTATATATATCATATATTTCTCTTTATCATAACATATATTATATGAATATATACGCATCTTTGTTTTCATCTAATCCTACTTCGTGACCAGCTTCGTGACCACGGTACCGAGGACACCAAATTGAGACAGCAAAGACAGAGACGCGATCATTTTTGTGCACCCGCGTACATTCTTTTTTTTTTTCTTTTATATTAAATAATCATAGTAATAAACTGTGATAATAAAAATAACAATAACACTAGCCGACGTGTAATGGAATAGTAACAATGACGATAATAGATTTTAACAACAAATAATCATCTATTTGGATGTTGTCAATCATTAAAATTTCGTAACGTTTCTCTTCTAATTGTAAGCGTTAAGAGCCGAAATATGGCAACAATAAAATATAGTATGCAAATCTCAACATGTTGGATATGCTCTTCCTGTTCATATCGTTCACTGTGATATTTTCCTCCGACACTCTTGTCCATTCATTTTTCAATTTTCATATATTATACCTTCTCTCTATTTCTCATCGAATATGCGTATGCTCGTTTTGTTTATTCAATTCGGAAAAGAATGGATTTTCTATGTGAAACGCGACTGTGGGTGTAATTCGTACGTATCTCAATTATATAAAATAGTGTGTGTCTGTGTTTGTATGAAAATATATATACATATATATATATGTATATATATTCATACATACACAGGCATATATACAATATGAATGTGTATATATGAATATATATATGTATGTATATATGTTATATAATTAATTTATA